AAAAAAAAAAAAAAAAAAAAAAAAGGAACCGTAGTAGACTGAGCGAGCCTTTACGTGCAATTTTGAAAACTCGCCAGTGTGAAGGGAAAACAAAAATGCATTAAACATTATTATTATATAAGTATTTCGTTCTGTTTCTGCTTATCCACCTGACCAGTTCGTTATGAATGACTGCACACCTAGTAATACGTCGTATGTAGTCGGTTGGGCACTGAAAAGTGACCGGTCCCACCATACCGTTCAAGACAGGAATAAAGATCCTCCACGAACAGGTTTGCAAACTCGGTCTCGACTACACCATGATGCCAGGCAACAATAAAGGACATTTCACCGCCCCGAACTCCACCGATGTTGACGTTGATTAATGAGTCCTTGCCCTGGCTGGACTGCGTATAGAAGTTGCGAGTAATTGTCCACTTAGGTGTCGGTCCACTAGTCGGAGCTATGCCAGCCGTTGAGATTGAACCGGTATTGGAGACAATCCATGTGCCCTCGCGGGCCTTTCCCTCTTGCTTCCTCCACCAATCGTGCCAGTCACTGACCCATGCCATAAGGCCCAAGACGTTGTCCTCAGTCACATGGGCAACGCGCGCTTTAAGGCTGGCACCCACGGCGGCAGCCGCGCGCCACACTTTGTCATCGTCTTCAGCATCGGTCTCAGCGACCGCCCGGCCATCAGAGACTGCGTCTGCATCGTACTGGTACGAGTGCGACGACACTAGGTTAGCCATGCAGCGGTTGATATCGAGGGCCATGTCAGCCGGCGCATGTATGAATGGCCGCATGCTGATGGGCATGACGCAGGAGAAGGATGGTGCCACATTGGAAGGAAACCGCCGTGCAAAAAGCACCATCATCAGACCGTGAACAAGCGCCGTGAGTGTTATGCTGTGCGTTCGACAGCCAGTTAGCAGCGCGGCAGCTTGTTTGGGTGTTAGATGGAATACACGCAGGTGGCCTTTAAGCTTGGGCTCCAATTTGATTCGCGAACCAGTGTATGGCCCAGCCACGGGAGCACTTTGTAACCAAGAAGGGCCCAGTTCCTTCCAAAGGGTGCCAAGAAAGAATGGCCAGGATACAGTGAACTTGACAAGTTCTTCCTGTGAAGGGGTGAGCTTGGGCGGCTCTGTGAATACCAGCACAATTTCATTTTCGCCACCCCCCTCCGATTTGTCTGTTGCGGCCTTGCTATTGAGGAGCTCCAAGAGATGGCCGTGAAAGGCGAGGCCACTCTTACCATCGCCAAGTGCGTGGTGCACAGCGAACGCTAGGTCGGCCCAGCCATCGGTAGCATTCAGGTAAGTGATGAGACGCCAGGGTGAACGTGTTCCAACATCCGGCCACGGGCGGGCGTTCTCATACTCCAAGTTGCGCATCAGGAGCTCGTCATACTCGCTCGCGGATAGGCCGGGCACGCGTGCCACATACTCCAAATGGTCGTCCAGGTCGAGCGACGGCAGTGCGACAAACATGGGCCGCTTGGAATCCTCGCCGTCAATGCCCACACGTAATGCAGGCAGTTTTTCGAGTACAATGGCTCTCACAGCATTGCGGATGCTTTCTTTGACTTGAGTCTCGGTCGCAGACGGCAGCGCATATCGGCACACAGTAATGACATTCTCATACAAGCCGAGGGAGTGGCGCGAGGAGGAGTACTGTTCGCTACACCATGTTAGAAATGCTTTATCTTTACTCCATTGAAGTCGTCGTTTGTTGTAACAACATGAGACGGATAAGGCACTTACTACCCACCCAGGGGCCGTAAGACGGTGCGTTGTAGAGCCATGAGGGGGATTAGGTGTTGAGATGCTGGCGTTTTCGATGTGTGGCTAGCCATTCGTTGTAATAATGTTGTTACTTATTTAGCTGATCCCGGTTGGTGATTTTAGGCCCTGTTGTGACCTGATTGTTCGGTCATTTGCTTTCTTTTCATTCTTCTATATTCACCACCTGACGTCGAGAATGGCGCTTGGTACCTTTAAGTCCTCAACCCGAAGCAGAGTCGTCATCTAATCTAGGCAACCCCGTTCCCTTCATTGCGTCTCCACAAGCCGAGGACAGGCAACTTTTAGTGCTGGTGATGTCCTTGTCTCGCGGTGGCCATTGTGCGCTGAAGAAGATCGCGTGACCAAACACGTGATATAAATTTATTTTCCACCACCTGACGTCTGGAATTAAGTCGGGACCAAGCCGCGGCAAGTCTTCCGTCGCTGATTTGGCTTCCCGAAACACGATATCGAAGACATTGATACGAATCATATTGGTCAAAACTAAGCTGCAGTATGTCGGACACCGATAAGTCATGGCGAACGAGTTCTGGAGCTGTGTGGATTTCATATTTCTCTCAACGGCAAGTGCTACTCAAAGGTGGATCGGGCTCATTATGTGGGGCCCAGGGGCCCGTGCACAAGCGTGTCGTTGCCGCTCGTGTATTTCGTACCCTGACCGCGACTGCCTCGAGCTACCGTGACTTTTGCTGGCACAGAAACATGCTAACAACAGTCCTACATTGAGGGGATCTTTGTTCACTTGCTGTGATCAGCTTCCAACCTGTCAACACAGGCGCCAGCTATTCAAAGACGGGGCATACGTTCTATCGACACTTCCTTCCTTTATTCTAGCTGCTTTGTTCATTACTTGTCGTCTACGGAGCACCTCGCCGTTACTAAACATCGCGACAATAAGGGAACAAGGGAATGCGACACCTCCCTATTTCCGTTGTATTATTTTCTTTGGCTCAGCACCCCATTCACAGGTTATCCCGTTTTATCTCCCGCCGTGTTTCATTTTCTTCTAACCGTGTACCTTTCTTTTCTATATTATTTTTCTTGTCACCTCCCTGCCCCCCTTGTCGGCTCTGTCATCACAACCATCAGCAATGTTGCTCCTCCTGCTTTGAAGCTCCAGATCTGGGATCCTTTTGCCACCGGCGACGACGTAGGGTGAGCGGCACGAACGGCATAGCCTTAATCACACTCCCTACGATTACGCAATGGACAAATCCTGGAAGCGTAGCGCATCGCCCGCACATACGAGCCGCCTCCCTACAAAGACAAAAAGCTCTCTCTCAATGCGCGACGTCACAGACAGCCTCGATCGCCGCGCCCTGACAACATCGCCGAGCGCTGTCTCTGATACATCCAGCGGTACAGATGCCAGTAGCGCCGCGAACGGGCATGGCGGTCTGTATGGCTACGATGCTTCGCGCCGCTCAAGCTCGAGCTCTCAACAGTCTGATGTTGCACGCGGCAGAAACTCGGCGGGCCCATTAGGCCCAACACGTATTCCTCGACCACCTCCCTCCCACATAACATCAACACAATCACACAATCCATCTCTTTCCAACCAGAGCCAACCGCTTTCGATCAGAGACGCATATAGAATGGCGCAAGAGGAGGAAGCGGCGGCTGTGGCAAAAGTAGCACAAGGGTCGCCAAGCCCAGCACCTCGTCCCTGGCGCAACCGAACTGGTAGAGGAGGGTCTAAGGGCACACCCACCCTGCCGGCACCCGGAGCTGCTGCCGGCGCCTCGGGGAGAGCTACACCAATCAGTACAAGCGAGAGCCGGATGCAAAAGTTCTTAGCTCAGTCGCCATTGGACATTGGCGGCCGGCGCACAGCACGCCGCATTGGTGAGGGCATTTATCAAGGCAATAGTGGTGGTGGCGGCCAAGATCCACCATCACGCTTGCAACGGCGGAGCACCACGAATGGCGACGACGCTCGAAACATTGCTAGCAACATCACACCCGCGCACTCTGAGCATGGCGACGGATCGGACCTTCGATGGATCCGGTATGAAGAGGACCAGGCACGTATGCAAGTTGCCATTGGCGAAAAACCGGGTGGTTTATTCTCACCCAAAGCCCGTGTCAGTCCTAAGATCGCTGTCGCTGGCCGCGAGCTACACCGTCGGGCTAGTAATACCAGTCTCGGTGAGAAGAGCAATGTCCCTGTATCTGTGACAACCAACCGCACAACAACCTCATCTGGGGTGTATTCGGCACCGGCCAACCGAGGAAGCAAGCCGGCCAGCTCCCTCAGGCGCATGGTATCTGAGTCCGAAGACGTCACTAGGATTTTTAAAACGTCTTCACCGGGACTGGTGAGAGAAACCAATTCTGGGGACATGGTCTATGCTACCGACCCTTCTGCTGCTCCGACTCAATTCAGATCGACTGCTGTTCCGTCACTGGCGGCAGCACAAACTGCAGAAGCGGATCTGAATGAGTCTCCTGGGAAAAGCTTTGCCTGGGATGCCGACGAGGATTTTACGGCCAACGACCTGATGGCATCCGAGAGCCCGCGTGTTGCGCTTCAAAGTGGAACTGGTGTCGATGTTGCCCCCGATACGGTGCCCTCAAAGACCCATCAATCTCGACCGCGGAACTCCAAACTCGAGGAGATACGTCGATTGGAGTTGGAGGCGGATTTGATCTTCCCCGAAGACGCTTTGATCGAAAATCGGCGACATTCTAACCGCGACGAGATCATTCCAAACACTGGCGCCGTGGACGCGGAAATGAGTCGACATAGCGAACACGGAGATGCTGGTGAAGGTGGTGGGTTGGACCCGCAAAACTTGCGCCGCCCCGGCCTACCAGTAGAACGGACCAACAGGACATTGGACGACATCCGTGCCCGGGAAGATCAGCCTATTTCAAAACGGGAAATGTCGGCTATGAGACTAGACGAGATCCGACAACAGAACGCTGAGAGCCGCCAGAAGCCAATTGACGCTGCCCGAAAGTTGAGCCACGAGCATTTGCGCGCGGAGGCGATTCGCGATGGACAGGACGACGTTGTCGAACTGGCATTTGATAAGAACGAGACTAAGACTGATGTAGCGACACGAGCTGCGAGAGACCGTGCTCTCTATGGCGAGGACAGTGAACATATCCCCAACACCCCCATTACGATTTACCGGTCATCATCGACCGACCGTGGGCGGAAGCTCCTGAGCGCGGAGGACGGTGGCAGCGACAATGACACTGCTAAGAACGTGAGTGTCAGCCCCACAGGCTCGCGCAAATCCTCATCTTCCACGCACTCGAGAACTGAGTCGCAAGAGCTGCTTCGCAAGCTGGCTCGCGTAACTACCTCTGTTGTCGCGGCCGCCGAGCGGAAAGACAAAGCAACGATGGGCCCTCAGATATTGAATAAGATGCCAGGCGGTGACAATGTGCGAGGCGGAGCAGGACAAGGAGCACCGCCCGACAACGACAACTTTGCATTTGACAAAAATGTCGGATTGAAACTGCCCCGGTCTCGAGACGGCGACACACTGCGGCCTACGGTTGGATTTGCACAGCTGCGGCGGCAGGCGTCCACAGAATCGGCTTCAACTAAGCGTTCTAGCCTGGCTCAGTCGGACGGCGACCCAACAGATCGTATCGAGGCTGAAATGAAGTTATTTGCGGCCGGCGAAAACCATTCGGAGAGAGGATCGATTCGTGCCCCATCACCTGACGAGAATTTGGATGATCTAGGTGCTCCGGTGCCAGGCTTGGTAGCTAAGAGCTCGTCGATGGTCGATGATGCAACCCCCAGATCGAACAAGGTGATGAACCCTCTTATGCAGCCAACACCGCGTGTGACAGGGGCGTACGTTGAGACACCGGCGACAGCAAGGACAGAGAAGATGCTGGAAATGATTAACGCTCCTGCTAGCGAATCAGAGGCTCCATTCCAGACCATTTCTGTTGCTTCATCCAAGGCAGTTGAAAAGAAGCGGGCATCCATGCCACTTCCTGGGATCCTGTCATTGTTGCGAGGCTCTACAGGCACCGACACTGATCCAGGTACTGCAGCCGTCACCGAGACCGTGCCGGGCGATGGACATACGCCTTTTGGAGAAGCGCCTTCTGTGGCTACGAAGGATGTCGAGGCTCGTTTCCACCGGCTATCCTCCTCGCAGAAAATGTCAAGATCTCGCTCGCGGTCTGCGTCGCGGTCATGGACCCCACTTGTGAATTCAGCCAAGCCGTCAAGTGCCCGCGAAGACCTATTAGCCATCCAACGTGACCAGCAAATTGACGATTCGACGGTTGATGACTTTGACGAGGTCTTGGCCACGCACACAGCAGCTGGCTTAAACGACAAGACGGCTGTTTTAGGTGGCGATAGCACGACAGACTCTCAACGGCTGCGGCGGATGAGCCAGTCAATCTCGACGTACCTTCTGGATGTCCAGTCAATGAAAAAGGGGATTGAGCGGCTGGAGGACCAGGTGTCCCACCCCGAGACTAGAGTAGAGGCTGCGCTTGAGCTGCAGAAGAAGATCAAGCAGGAAGCGGTGACTGACACGAAGCGGGGGGCAACCACTCATGAGAAGTCCGTAATCGGTCCTATTCAGAAAAGAGTGAAGGTTGAACCAGGCAGTGACCGCATCCTGAACTTCAACGCCGCTGTCTCAAAGCAAACCAAGCAACCCACAAAGGAGCACAAGCGGCATGGCACCAGTTCTTCCCAAACTGTGCCTAAGAAGGAAGGCAAAGATGATACATCTGTGTCCCCCGCATTCCCAAAGACATTGTTTGTTGGGTCTACACCGACGGACGCAGTTTACCTGCCACGGCTGTATCGCTCGAGTCCTGGCAACACGCAGTTGACACTTCTCGGCATTCTCGTCCTAACATTGTCGGTCTGGCTTGCATTCGAGAGTACGGCATGCGCGTTGTTTTGCCGACCCGAAGCGTGCCATAGTGGCCAGGCTTGTCAATGGTCACCAGACGATCCGTCATTCGGTTCGGCCATTCCAGTAAAATTGGATCAGTGGCTCACAGGCGGCCAAGGCCGATCGCTGGCTACCTGGGCGAGTGACGAAGTTGGAGACTGGGTGGCTGATTTGTGGGATGCAGCGACGGGCACGGATATTCGACAGGTTGACTCAACATATTTCACTTTCGACGAAAAGCGGCGCCACCGCAGACGGCTGCAGAAGAGAGGTCTTATCCAGCCTTGGACTCCAACGACCGAAACGCGGCCCAAGCTGGAGGCGTTGCGACGTGCGGGCGAGGCGCGTGAGGAGGAGCGTCGTGATCGAGAGGAGCAAGGCTACAGCAGCAGGTACGACGGAGGTTACTTGGAGGACGACGGTGTCGACGATGGATTTGAGGATATTGTGCGGGCGAGCGAACGGATTCTGGGGGACAAGAAGGTGAGGGGTTGGTGGTGACTACGGAGGGAAGAGCCGGAGAGGCTGCCTTTCAAACCATTTCGACGGAAGCGACCATTTACCTCCCACGCTTCGAATGGTGCTCTATGAGGTTGGGGGCAATTCATGTTGCAGGTTTGTTATTATTCAAAAATACAGCTGGAAGACGAACTCGTCCCTGGAAAACAACAAGGTCAGCTGGCGTCGAGCTTTTAATCAGAATCGAATCGAAAACCAATAGTCCAAGAATCATCACCAAATACAGAAAAAGAAACAAGGGTATCTAAAAACACACAGGAGCCAGAATTAGACATTGCAGGTAATCAATACCGACGACTATTGAAGAGGCTCAAGGCCATCATATACAGCGCTGGTCGGCGACGTACTTGGCATACGAGGCTGGCGCCACCTTTTCAAGGATGCCCAGCCACTTTTCTTGAATGTAGTTCGTCACGCTGTCAACAGTCCAAGCAGCCGCTGCTTCTTCGGCTTCCATTTCAGTCACGGGCGTAGTCTCGCCACCAGACACAGCGAGACCAAGGTGCAATCGCATAGCAGAGCACACTGCAACATGGTGAGCCCGGGGTAGCGTTTCCGGGACGGCTGCTTTGACGGCTTTGCGGATGGCCACTAGGTGATTCTCGCGGTGGTAGCGAATACGAGTAAGCTCGAACTGGGCCTGTGATTCGGGGAAGAAGGCAAAGGCAGCATCCCGGACGGCTTCGCGGTTTGGCACGGCATCCATGTTGAACTTGGTTGGCAAGTAGTGTCCCGAGACGTACAGAGCAGGAACATACTCCATGACCCACTGGCGGAACAACGAACGCCTCTGAATGCGGCGGCGGTCGTTTGATTTGAGGAGGCTGGGGTGTGTGTTGTTACCCATAACCTGCGAGTCGCTGCCGAGGTCTGGCAGGTAGAAAAAGCAACTGCTGATGACGTAGTTAAAAAGGGCCTGGGCAGTTGAGAAGGGTTGCTCCCAGAGGCTCACGCACGCGCCCCCGTTGTAGTCGCGCCCTCCACCGTCTTTGTGCCCGTTGAAGTCAGCCAGAATACGAAGTCCGAGGAAGTGAAGCACTTCCGCCGGCTCGTCGGTCAGAAAGACCTTGGAGCGCTTGCGGTCCTTGTGTTCGATTTCCGGCACACGCAGCCACAGCGCACGCTCGTCAACGGTCAGGCCGAGCGGCCGGAGCATTGATGTGCTGGCAATGCTCCAAAAGTCGCCATGGGCGTGCTTGAAAAGTGCCCAGTGAAAGAGGGAGAGTGACGGTGCAACGGCGAGGTCGACCTGGATGTGGGGGTAAGAAGGAAAGCCGCCACTGAGGTTGACATCGCCATCGGCATAAGTCGGGGTTGGGGCTAGCCAGAGCAGGTCTGCTGGCCATGGAATGGCCATAGACGCCTTGCCTTTGGCAATAGAAGTGCGGACTGCGCCGAGTCGAGCCGTCGCTTCCTGGAGGAGGAACGTGTTTTCGGGATCATCGTCGGCGGTCACGTCGCCGTTGGGGCGGGGGAGGGCCACAACAATGTCTATGTCGCCAAAATCGGCCTTTTCAGGGCCCTCGATGGGCGTCGCAACGGCCGTAAACAGAGTGAACAGGACAGCATGGCAGCGACCACGGACAGAAGCATAGACAGCCGGGGCCATGCGAGGTGTGTGAAGGGCGTCTTGCCCTGTGGCGAATGCGGCACCGCCCATGGTGAGGTCAAGCTGGTAGTGTGGTTGTGAATCCTTGGCGTTGAATGAGAGCCGTTGCGGGACGTGTGCTACGGGGACGGAGAGGAGGAGCGCGCGAAACAGTGAAGTAACTGGGGAGACATTTTGGTTACTGTATGGACAGAGTTGTGCTGATTCTGGGGCGATAGATTCTCGACATTGAAACTGGGTACTGTAGGAGCGTTTTTGTGACGCATACTGAAGATCCTTGGCCGGGAAATACTTTTGCCAGTCGACGAGGCACAGCCTGGTTCTGTGAATTGTAACGCTTAGCGAGAATAGTGTTGATTAGAATCTCCATGCACCATTCACGCTTAATATACTATTTGCACAGCATCCGCTACTGCTACTTAGTGCATCCTCCTGAATCACACACAATTAACCAGCTTCGGTTCCCTCCAACACTAAATATTACTGTTTCAGTTTCTTCTTCTTTTCCTTGTCTTTCCCACGCTCTCTTCTTTAGTGAGTCTGTCCTCTGTATTACTTTTCCAACTGGACATTGGCGAGTAAAACTAAGCCATTGCCCCGGTTTCTTCTCATCGTAGTAATTGGGGGGGGGGGGGGGGAGGGGGGTTTGCCGGGTCTGTTACTTTGGTCTGTTATTATGCGGAGGAGCGATCCTGACGATAATCACATTTAGACAAGCCAAAAAGCCATGAACCGGGCTGCATGCTTGCTAGTAGTCGTATAAAGTTAATAGTTTGCATGTACATAAATTGCGAGAAAATGGAAGGCCAAATAAAAGGACGAAATGTGTGCAGGGGAAGAAAAAGAAATCAAATTAACCCAACTCAAAATTCTGAAGAAATACTACCGAAAAATCACCATCCAAGCCAAGCGGAGCCATTATCCATTCGTTCGGGGGTTTGTCCAACAGAGTTTCCGTTTTGGCCGTCCTTGAACAACACGACTTTGTGTCTTAACACCCGGTCGGTCCCAAGTCTCATTAATTAGAGGCATATGGGATGCCGTTCGTCATCCACTGGAACTGGTCGTACAGGCCAGTCGAGTAGCTTGCATAACTCTTCTTGATCAGGTCCCGCATGAATTCCGCAGCTTCTCTCTCCGTCTTCTCAAGCACAAATCTCTCGCGAAAGTGCTTGACTGACTCAGGTTTGAAGCACGGCAGCCCGCTATCCATCATTAGTAGCACCATCTGCGACAGTTTCTCCGCATACGGTCGTGAGGCCAAGAACGCCTTGATGCACAACTCCTCAAACCACTGGAATGCCTGCTGATCCGTGCTGCCGCCCATGACTGCTAACATCTCCGAAGTCAGTTTAAACGGTGCACGCTCAAACTTGATTCCACCGGGCGCGATGTCAAAGCAAAACCCAAAATCAATGTGCAGGATGTGGCCTGCGTCGTCAATCATGATGTTGCCGTTGTGGCGATCTTTGAACTGAAGTAGGAACGAAATTACAGAGTATGCTGCCATACTCTTGACAAAGTTGTTCCGCGCCGCCTGGAACCGCAGGGCGTCTTCGTTGCCATACTTGGAAATGAAGTAATCGTAAAGGCCATTCACTGCTTCGCGGCCCAGCATGTCACGCGACACAGAATTTGGCAAAACGTCAATCACACCACAGCCAGGTGCCGTGGCAGTGACTCGATAGGGGAAAACAAAGACGTCAAGGCCAACACTCTGGAAAATGCCACGGAATGCCGCGATCATCTGGAGTGCTAGAACGTCTTGACGACAATCGTCGCCGACCTTGAAGATGGCCGACTGCCACACCTCAACCGTGTTTTCGAGTGCTAAGGCGCCGTGCCTACCAGAAACATTGGCACCAGAAACACCGCTGCCATGGGGGCTGCCGTTAGTAGCCACTTTGACAAGTGCAGTACTGTTATTGCCTGTTCCGTTGGCGACGGCGGAGGCGGCATTTCCGTTGACCTCCTCAAGCATTTCGTCGCTCGAACCCTTGCTGCCTTTGGGTTTTTGATGCGGAACGTGGCCATGAACGGCGCCTTGGCATGGCTCTGGAGCGGTTTGCCCGATTTGCGATCGATGCCAATGACGACACCGTCTGGATTGCTCGGCAGGTATACACCGACCTCCACCTTAATTTTGCGTAGCTCCTCCTCGATCTTCTGCTTCTTTTCCGGCTTGGATCGCTTGATGAGGGGCTTAAGCTTGCCGGAGATGCTCGTGACCTCGTCAAAGAAGGAAAATTCGCGCTCGTAGAACTCGCGATCAACGGGGGAGAAGGATGTGGTCATACGTGCCATGACACCATCGAGGGTTGGCTTGATAGCATCGGGCTACACAGCCGGTTAGCAGGATGGGCGGGTTGGTAGTTGGGTGCGTGAAATTCCTTGTTGTGATGGTAGACTTACAATCTGCGCATCATCGTCCTTGTAGGCGTTCGCTTTCATGTTCCAGATTATCTGGTGGGCAAACAGCTGCGAAAACTGTGCCGTCTCCAAGATGTACCGCGCAACATAACCCAGCGCATCGTACCGTAACGTCTGAACGATCTGTGGAACGTAGAAGAATGTGATATCCACGGAGTGGCTCTCGAGTGCACGCATAGCATATTGAATGAGATATGGGTGGTACTCATATGACGGCATGAAGTAGGTCACGGCTGTGATTGGGTTGATAGGAGCCCAATAGAGGAGATACTGACAGTTGTTAGACAAGAGATATTGAGAATGCACTTAATCGGGCAGCGTAGGATAGGAAGAAAGACATACCTTCAGCTGGAAGCTAACATCATGAGGCAGAGCACCATCGAGAAGGATGGGAAGCGCATCTGGCTCATCAATGGCCTTGGACGGGAAGTTCAGTAGCAGCCATCGGACCTCTCTATGGACCCGCAAGTTTTGGAAGCGCGTCGCAAGTTCAATGGCTAAAGAAGGGCTTTCCTGCCAAGCTGTCCGGATCAGAGGAATAATATTCTAGAGTTTCAGGCAGGTTAGCAATCCGTCACAGCAGGTTATATCAAAGGAAGGTGGGCAGGTTTACCTCAATGACACCCTTCGTGTTATTGATTCCGTGGTTGACAGCCATGTGAGATTGGGCCTTGCTGGGCTCATTTAAAGGATATGCCCAAACAGAGAGTCTCAGTTGCTCATTCTCCAGCAGCAACAGTAGCAGGTCTTCCTTGGCCTGCAATGATTTAGTTGCTGTGGTCCCTTGGTGCGAGCCAATAAACGACACAGCCTTCACAGCGGCTAGAACGTCCGAAAGAAGACGGATCTCGGTTTTGAGTTGTAGATTGCTGCTGCCAAAGGACCATTTGAGCGTGCCAGAGAACCAGCTGAGGGCCGCCGATAAAATCTTGTCCTTGAGTCGCCACTGGGCGATAGAGCTGATCGTAGAACTGAAGCGCAAGACGCGGAGGCCAAAAAGAATGATTTGGAACCACAACTCGCGCGCAATGGGATGCGGTTTGCCGGTGGTCTTAACTGCGTCAAGCGTTACATCCAGCATGCGTAGGAAGCTCTTTTGGACGTCAACACTACCCAGGCGAGTAGCATTGAAGTGGCTTTGGAGGAACTGCAACAGCCGGGTATGAGGGCCAAGCAGATTGTGCACATGCTGGCCACGCTTCGTCACAGAGGCGCTGTCAGTTGGTGCAAACTGCATCTCGACAAAGAACGGATCTGGGTCGGTTACGGCCGGGTTGAAGAGACCCTGCCGCCTCTGGATGCTGACCTCCCAGTGCTGCAGCACAGCGCTGAGGATACGTGGCTCCATACGAGGGCTTTCATGCATGACGCCCAGCCAGAGAGACACACCCAGCTTGATGGATGCCTTACTGAACATGGCAAAGGGAATACTGACCAAGTATTGCACAATGGCATTCTGGTCACCCTGACAGCGGCAGAGAAGCGACGCGGCACGCCGGAGAATACTCTGAATGTCGCCAAGCTTTGTCGGCTTTCTAAGAAGAACACGCTCTTCAATATGGGCAAGGGCGCTGACAGCATCGGCGCTCTCGGAATCGGTGTTTGGTAGGAACGAAGACCGTCGGTCTATGCGGATAAACGAGAGCCACTCCATGCTGTGGTCAGGAAGTGGCTCTGCATAGCGGTACTCCTGGCGTGACGTGTATTGTGCAATGAAATTAGACGCAGAGTTGATGCCAATCTCGCCAAAGCGGTCAAGCGAGGTCATGCGCTGGTCGGTGGCGGGAATAGAAAAGCCCATTTCCATAGCAAAAGAGCGGCCAAGAGAGATATGGCCATAGGCGCCGTCATCGTCCCATTCCGAAAGATAGGTCTGAAGCAGACCTTTAACATCTGCCGGTGCCAGGCCAATAACACCGGATACCCAGGCCTTTGCCTTTCTGTACAGCGTATTCAGGGTAACATGGCGAAGGCTGTAATCGTCAGATAGCTCGACGGTGACATTGCCGCGGGCTGACGTGAACGTGTTGTTAGGGGCGTACATGTCGGTTTCGGATTCGAGGCAGCTCATCCACATCAGCGACAGTAGCTCAAGCAGCGCAAACAACGAGGACCGGTGGCAGAGCGCAGAGGGTACATCACGGATGATGCGGTCAGCACATATATATGATGCTTGTTGGACGCGCTCAATGCGATGACAGCAGCTGCAGAAAATAGCTGCTAGTTGGGAGGCAGCATATTGGGCCGAAAAGCTGACGTCGGTGCCAGAGAGCGTCTTTCTAAGGTACTTGTCGACGACAACCGAGGTTATGCCTTCCATGATGCCGCTTACATCGCCGCGACGCATGCTTGGCTCTAGGAAGTAAGACAGGGCTTTGGTGCAGTCACCAGCATCGGCGCGAAGGCTTTCGACAAGATAAGCAGACTGTAAAAAGATGACCTTTCGATAGCTCAGACTCCGAATTTCGGACGCCTTACCAGGCACAAGTTCTGAAAGGGTCTTTTTCTGCATTGCCTCGCGCTCCGAGCTCATGCCGCGACGGAGCACGGTATTCAATTCGATGTCGCTTTCGACCTGCTCGCCACGCTGTTCTGCCACCAGTGGTGGCGAATGCACGGCCATAACACGCAGCTCATTAATGTATTTCTTCCCCCGTGGGCTAAGCGGTGTGAAGCCATGGACAACAATATTGAACCAAGCATCGCGGATCATTGCATGTGCGTCGTCGTCGACCGCCCCGTAGAGGGCAAGTTCGTTTGCCGACATGAATACGGCCAGCGGCTGCAGGAGCTCAGAGATTTCGCCGGCAGCCAACTCAATGTCTGACTCCTTGGCATGGTGCGTCTGGTGGACGTCGCCTTTGGATATGACATCGTCGAGCATATGCTCCCAATATATGTCATAGAGCGGCGAGTCTTTCTCGACATGAGATGAGATGTGATTTCGAGCGTTCATGACGGCAGTGAGCAGGCTGGGCCTGTTTTCGACTATAGCAACGTGGCAGATGCGCGTAAAAGTCTTGAGAAGCGATCGAAATTCGAGCTGACCACCGGTCAGAGCGAGTATGGCGGCGGCCGGTATGATCTTGGTGTCAACCGTGGTGTTGATCTTATCAATTTTTTGAAGGAGCATGGATTGCGCCAGAGCGGTGATCTTGGGGTCCTTGCAAGCACTAGCGATGCCGCAGATCGCCTGCACCACATTGCCATAGATGACGGACGTGTCTTCTTCGTTGTTCATTTGCAGGGAGATTGAGCTGCCAGTCGATTGGCGGCCCTGGTAGATTTGGGCAACTGAATCGAGATTGTTGTCGCTGGAGCTGAGGCCGGATGCTCCATCAGCCAATGAGTGCTCATTGCCGGTGCTCAGAACATTACCCAGAGTGTAGATGGTCGTGATAATAGCATCCGTTGACAGCATGCGAAGGACAGAGGCCAGGCCAGCCGATGCAATGTCAATGGACACGCCGCGGGCACCACTTTGAACGATGTAGCGAGGTAGCAGTTTGCTGACATTGGCAGCGTACTCGGGTGAAATGCGGCAAATGAGTGCGAGTGACTTGAGCACAACAGAAGATAGTTCGTCGTCTGCCATCTGCGCCGGGTCGACGAGAGACTTCTCCAGCCATCCCATTAGGATGTCGGCATCGGCAGCATCCTCATTGAGGCGCGAGCAGTTCAGGTAGCCGATCAAGGCGGAGCTGCGGATGGAGAACGCAAGCTTGAGCTGGGCGGCCGAGCCCATGCTTACAAAGTCGGAGCTAGCCTCGAGGTAATTCATATGATCGACGACGGCGTTCGCGAAGATTTCTACTGACTGATAGTCGGCATCACCGCTGCGCGCGCTAATTGGGCGGAGAAGGCCTTCGCCGGAAAGAAGGAGGTCAAGCACTTGCGTTCGCTTCAAGGCTGGCACCTCGGCCACAAGCAGCGACGTGGCTGCCACGAGCAGGTGCATAAAGCTCTGTTGCAGGAGCATGGCACCCAGTGGCCGGCCCATCTCCCAGTAGTGGCGCAAGTGGCGATTCCATTCCTTGACCAGTCGGTTGGTAGAGTCTGAGTTGCGGATGGTGGAAAATGCGGTCTCGACTGCCACAAGGAAAGGCTCCGAGACAACTTTGCGTAGACGTGACACCAAAGCTAGACGGCCGCCGGAACGCCAGAAGTCAGCTTGTGCAGCTGCGGCATCAAGGAAACCAAGAAGAGCCACGGCGATCGTCGCGGTGCGGATGGCGTCGTCGAGGTTGCCATCGTCTTCACCTGCATCGCTGGCGATGCTACTGTTCACGTTGCTGCTACTACCATTTCCGTTTAAGATACGAGATGACGAGGCGGAGGGTGGAAGAATAGTGTCGGTCGTGCGGGCACAGGCATTAAGGAATGCCCAGACGTTGTCAGACACAGCCTCGTGGACGTCATTGTGGTGGATGCCAAGGGAGAGCAAAGCCGCGGTGACGTGGAAGGAGAGGGACTCTGTCGGAGAAGGCTCAACACGGCGGAAGAACGGCGATGGGACGAATGTCTGGACGTGAGAGTCGAGAATGTAAGGAAGAAGCTGCCGTGTAAGTCGCTGAGCACTTTGGCCTGACCGGACAAGGGGCGCGGCTTTGCAGAGAGCCAGGAGAACCTCGAATTCTCGAATGGTCTAAAGACGTTAGCAATCAAAGGTAGGATGTACATCGAAAGCACCGGAAGGCCATCATAACATTTCCGTACCATGGGGACGCGTCCCGCCAGAGAGCGAGAAGCGTATCCGTTGGCGTTGGATGGCGCTTTGGCATGGCTTGGACATGCTTTGCACAAGCGATCAAGGTCCGACTTTTCGAACGCGGCAGTGGTGGTCGCAGCCGACAAGGCTGCGATTTTCTCCAGAGCCCGTTGACGTATGTCGAGAGTCGCCATGCTGGGCAACGGCGTAAGAGGTTTTCTGCGGGACGGAAAAGGAAGTCCGGCCACAAAACACGAAGCAAAGAACTCTGTAGTAGTCTTACGAGAGGGGCAGATAGGTGTCAATCGACGGCAGAGGCCCTAAGAAAAACGTGACGGGTAAAGGTAGACTTTGTATGACTGTAATAATCATGGTGTTGTGGCGCGATTTTTGTCGCCAGCGGGTTGAGGTGCCCCTGACGTATCACGAAAAGCCAGCACTGAAAACATCGCGAAACAAGGAACCATGGACAGACACAGAGATATTCGGAGCTTGGGCCATAAACCCACTAAGCCCGAGGTGCGCTGGGGAGAAGTGTTGTTTTGCACCTGCTCGTTGTAGGCCGCTTAATTGGAGTAGCGACTGGACCAATTATAGGCCCCTGTTAAAGGACCTTGTCGAACCGGACACGTGAGATTAGTCATCATATCACCGGCAAGGCTCCTAACTGACGCGTTGTTGGCTGGGTAGCCTCCTGTTTGATTTGAGCTTCATTGAAAGTGTATCCTGACACTGCCATCCGTCCAACAAGCACCCCGACCAAACCACCACTCATCGTGACAGACATCTAAGCTGGAAGGAGTCACTCCATTGATATTATACCGACCTGAGGATTTACATTTCGCATAGGACATCATGGCTGCCATCTTCAACCAGAACCCCGTCCACGATGGGCCGAGCTACTCCTTTGCCAACGCACCCAAGACGCAAGCTCCTGAGGGCGCACGGCAACACCGATTTGACCCGTACGTCTATCCTCATCGATTCTTGTGTCTTTAATACTGCTTTTGAAGATTTTTTTTTTTTTTCATTTTTGGAATCCGAAGGAGAATACTAATCTGTTTTTCTCCCCCATCCGAACAGGTACACGGACAACGGCGGCACGACTCTAGCCATTGCAGGCGACAACTTCACCATTATTGCGGGTGACACGCGCCACACGGCCGGCTACGCCATCAACAGCCGATTCTCGCCCAAGGTCTTTAAGATTGGGGGAACGACAGCTGACCAGAAGGATGCCACGATTGTCCTTTCTGTAGTTGGTTTCGCTGCCGATGGCGCCGCTCTGAAGGAGCGTCTCGACACCGTTTGCAAGATGTACCGTTACCGCCATGGCAAGCCGATCAGTGTGCACGCCTGTGCGAAGCGGCTATCGACTATCCTGTATCAAAAGCGCTTCTTCCCATACTACACACACGCCATCCTGGGTGGCCTTGACGAGGAGGGCAAGGGTGCCGTTTACAGCTACGACCCCGTCGGCAGCTACGAGCGTGAACAGTGCCGTGCCGGTGGTGCTGCGGCAAGCCTGATCATGCCGTTCCTGGACAACCAGGTCAACTTCAAGAACCAGTACGTGCCCGGCAGCGGCGTGGGCCATGATCTACAGGAGCGGCCACGTGTAGCCCTGGCACGGCCGGATGTGGAGATGCTGGTGAAGGATGCGTTCGACGGTGCTGTGGAGCGGCACATCGAGGTCGGTGACTTCCTTCAGATGATGGTGGTGACGAGCCAGGGAATCGAGGAAATCATTCAGCCGCTGAAGAAGGACTAAGTGGGCATTGGCAGTTGGGAGACGGTGCTCCTCCGAAGGTGGAGGAAGAAGTGTGATCCCAGTAGGGTGCCAGTGTTCGCCAATGTATTTTATCACACAAGTTATAACATGTTATGAGGAAGCCTTGTTGTGTTCAGTAGGTTAAACGTGTTTGTTCGCACCTTGGTAAAACCTACCGCCGTGTCATGTAATTGCGTTGGCAGAGTGATCTGGAGGAGGAGGCCGGGTGCGCAATTATGTGGGACTGCTCTGCGGTGTCCTGGTACTATTTCATTCTATTTTACTTCCGTGAGTAGCTGTATTCCTCAATGTCGATGGCCTTGGTCTCAAGTCTCTCCAAGATTGCCTGGCAGAACTGCACAGCCTCGAGGCCTGCCATTCCGTCGCAATTGTGCTCCACGCACTACACCTACAAAGTGGACCGGGTGTCGCTGAAAGGGGACTCGCGGACCAGTGTCGATGGCTAACTTTTCCCGCAGCAACTTGTTATTCCAGCTGTGCTCGCCAGAACCATACGGCGTAAGCGTAAGGTCCGGCACACTCAGCGTTCCCTGTGTGCCGCAATTGCGGTAGACGTCAATTTCGTCACTATTGTTGCCGATTTCATTGCCACCGGTGCGGGCGCGCAGAATATGCGGGTTCTCGCCGTTCCCATTTCAAAGCTATGGGGACTGACGGCTGCGTCCGACAAAATAATTGTGCCCACGGTGCCCGACGTGAACTGCAGTGTGGGGGACACTCCTTCGGCCAAGCGAGCGCCGGGCCAGTCTCGAAATAAGGATTTGGCTTAAATAGGCCCAAATGGCCGACACAGCCAGAAGGTTACCGACAATTCCTTTGTCCATGGCTTTTTTCGTGGCCACGGTGCACGGGTTAAATCGGCAGCGATGGCCAACTAGGAGATGCAAAATGTTTCGCTTGGCAAGTGCAACAAGGGCCCGGCCAGACTCGACGGTGTGTCGCTAATCGGCTTCTCCGCCAGGACATGGACACCAGCCTCGACAAGTTCCGTAGAAATTGAAACTTATGCGTGAAGGGGCGTGCAGATGATTGCACATTCCGGCTTGGAAATATGATATTTGAGCAACTCTTCAACACTGGTAAAGATGGGTGTTGTCTCTGGTACGCCAAGGTAGGTCCTGACGGTGGCCGCGTCTGGAGACGGGTCGATCACGGCAACGAGTTCGGTTACCATATTCTCCAAGACATGGGCTGTGTTGCGTTTACCAATGAGACTCGTAAAGCCAACAATGGCAATTGTCGATGGCGTTTACGAAGATATCGTATGCATTTCGACTATGGATAGTTGTAAAATACGGCTGGTATGGCGAACGACGTAAAGAACCGGGGCAGAAGCAACACTGCTGATGGCTGATTTGGGCACGATGGTTACAAAATGAAGTGCGCCATGGCGTTCGTGCATTATCTAATATGAGATATTCATTGTTTTGCCCCCGGCACCGGCACTCAGCTCTGTTTTTGAATATGCAGTCTCTTTTCATCGGCCCATGTAAAGCGTTTCCTTGGCTATGGTATGGTAATTCGCGATGCCAGTTCCTGTTTTCACACCATCGACACCGGAACAGCCTGCAAACCGAAAGGAACACACCGGGGTGGTCTCATCTCAGGATATTTACTGTCTCTTTCCATTTTGTTTTATTGTCCATATTGGAAGCGAGTTAAGGCCTACTTCTCGTCTCCTTATTATTCTTCTAATCTCCCTCCTCTCGCTTTAAGATTCCAGAAACGGTTGAATCTGTCAGATATTGGCACATCTGGTATATGCATCATTGTATAGTTAGTACGGCTTCTTCTAGTAGAGAAGAATCGAAAACCACATTCTTTGTCCCGTTTTTAGTTTTCATGGGGAACTACGAATGTACTCTGGAAGATCCTGCCGGTATGAGGCGTTGTGGGTCAAACGCTGAAGAGTTGCGGGGGACTGTCTTTGGATGCCCCGCCAGCACGCCCTGCGATTTCGGTTTAATTTTTTAATTTTTAATTTTTTTTTTGGCTGCGGAGGTCGAGGGGGTCGATGCCGCAATCCCAAGAACTCAGTGGCTTGGACGGCTGCAAATTTTCAAACTTAGAAATCTAAACCAAACAAACCAAACGAACAGTTCCAAGCGTCGCATTCCGATTTCGTCTCGAGGCGCTGATATTCGGTTTTTCGGTTCAAAAATTTCACCGTTGTCTGCTTCGCCCGACAGAGATGACAACGGTTAGCGATTCTCATAACGAACTGGAGGTCCCCGGGGCCGACGCGGTTCCGCCGGAAAAATCTGACTACGTGGACAATGCCGCCATTCCCCCTCGCAATCCCGTTCCTTCCGAAACGGGCGAGTTGTTAAGCGAAGAAGCGCGGCCAATCGATCCTCTGGTTACCGAGCGTGTCCTGCGCAAAATTGACCGTTTCCTGCTGCCCACCCTTGTCATAGGCTACGGTCTAACATACTGGGACAAAGCAATCCTGGGGTCGGCTGCTCTCTTCGGCATGACTGCAGACCTGGAATTGGCTGTTGTGAACCCCGTGACTGGTGCCAAAGATACGTCTCGGTTGAGCTGGGCCACGTCTCTATTTTACTTTGGCCAGCTCGCCGGGTCGTTGCCCATGTCCTACCTCGTGCAGCACGCTCCGACACGTTATGTGCTTGGCCCGGGTATCATGCTGTGGGCCACTGTGTGTGCGGCCACGGCGGGTGTGACGACGTACCAAGGGCTTTACGTGCAACGATTCTTTCTTGGCTTCTTGGAGTCTATCATTCCGACGTCTTTCTTGATGATTGTGGGCTCCTTTTACACGCAGTCTGAGCAAACACTGCGCCAAAGCTGGTGGTGGACAGCGTCAGGCTGGTTTGTCGTTATTGGCGGTGCAGTCAACTACGGCTTTGCACAAATCAAATCGGGCGGTCTGCAATCTTGGCGATACATTTACATATTTGCGGGTGCCCTGACATTTTTGTTTGGTATTCTGGGCTTCTTTATTCCCAGCTCACCAGTGGACGCGTGGATGTTGACCCCAGTTGAGCGCATTGCCGCCGTGGAGCGCCTGCGCGCCGGCCAAACCGGTGTTCGGAACCCACAAATCAAGTTGTCACAGATCAAAGAAGCCGTCACAGATGTCAAGATCTGGTTGATTGCTATCATTATGGCCTCGGGTTACACAGTCAACGGTGCAATCACCGGCTTTGGCCCGCTCATCGTCTCGACGTTTGGGTTTTCCACACTTGACTCCATCCTTCTCCAATTCCCGCTTGGCATAATCAGCGCGTGCTCGATGCTGTTTGCTGGTTGGATTGGATCTCGCATTCCAAACATTCGTCTCATTATCGTGATGCTGGCTTGTCTCCCCACCATGGCAGCGTTTATCATTATTTGGAAATCGCACTGGTCGAGTCACGCCGCCGCACCTGTCGTCGGCTACTCCCTTATGGGGTTCTTTAGTCCCGTTGTCAGCATGTCCCTTGTGTTGGCATCCACCAACACAGCTGGCGGCACGAAAAAGAGCTTCATGTCAGGTGTCCTATTCGTCGCCTACTGCGTTGGGAATATTGTCGGTCCGCAGATGATCCGATCACAGACAGTCAAGCAGCACTACCCGGCACTGTGGGGTGGCCTGCTCGGATGGTGAGTTACATTGATATGGACTGTTTATCCGTTTTGATAGCCGCTATATTTTTATTTGTTCTTTGGTGCCACGTACCTGCACCCCTCGCTGACAGACCTGCCTCAATTTCACAGTTATTCAATCACAATTTTAAGTGCAGCGACGCTCTATGGCGTGTTGTATCACGAAAACACACGACGCAGAGCCTTGGACATGGACGAGGCTGAGCGTAACAAGTTGTCATTCAAAGATCTGACTGATAAACAGAATAAATATTTCAGATACGCACTATAGAGTAATGGGTAGAATAATTTGATTCGGTTAGCTACTTAGCCACTTGTCAGAGCGTGTAATGCAGTCGCATTATTTGATCTGTTTTCTATCAAAGGCTCCCAGCGTCCAATCATTCGATATAGGATCTTCGGCGGCTGACATCCAACAGCTAATTCTACTTTAGTATGCACCTTTTAGTTAAACAGAGTTTGTGTCAAATTCACCACCGTTGCTGTGAATGGTGTGTGTAGGTGGAGGTTCATATTGTCGAAAGTCTCCCCGCCAAAGATCATAAGATGGTCTGGGTACTTTTGGAGAACGTGTATAGCGCGGCTGTAAGTGGCCCCTGCTGGTGTCATATGACTCTCCCACTTATCTAGCTGTCCTCCGAAGCGGTTGGTATAAACTTGGGGTCGGTCGGCATCAGACACGACAATTGTGCCATTTGGTCCTCCGGACGGGCTCCATGTGACATAGGGACTTGCGTTTGGCACTAACGTGGGCGTGATGACGATTGGTAGGCCTTCGGAGAGGCGGAAGTCGAGAGGTGAGTCCGCGAGGCGATAGTAGACAGGGTAGTGGGAGCCGTGGGAGCTCGAATTACCGATCGGGAACTCATGCACAAGGATCCACTTGTTGATAGGCGGAATGAACGTAACAACGGTCATGCCAGGACGCGCCGTGTACTCATCGTATGCCACGTCATCGACTGGAGCATCCCAGGTCTTGAGATCCGTTGACACTTGGTGGGATAGTTTCTGGCCATGTTTAGGATCCCGCTGATCCGAGTAGTAGCAGACAAGAGAATGATTGTAAACGCTAGAGGCGAGATGTGCAATCATTTGTTAGTCTCTTAAAAAGGCACGATAGATGACCGTGATGTTCAGGCTTGTTAAACGTACAGTAAGTAAGGTTCCCAGATCGGGTCTGCTCCATTGGTCGTGTTAGGCCGTCCGCCGTGCGCGATGTGGCTGACGAACTTCCAAGATAATCCTTTGTCCGTGCTCGCATAAAGGTCGATGCGAGTACCGTTGTCACTTGCACTGTTTCCGGACGCTAAAACAGTACCCACGTCGAAGCCACCAATGGGTTCTGTCAATTCGGCGAGGGCAGGCTGAGAGCCGAAACCCCAACCATTTACTGTGTCCTTAATGTCAGACAACCATTTCCAGGTGGCTCCCCCGTCGCGGCTTTCGAAAACGGGGAAGTATGCTGGTGAATGACCCGAAAGAGACGATGTTGCAAGGATGGTGCCATCCTTGAGCTCAGTGTAGCGTGGGTACGTAATACTTTCTTTGCCCGTGGTTTGATAAATGGTGTTGTTTGTAAAGAAGCCAAACGGGCTGGCTGCCGAACTCCCATTGCCGTTTTGAGTACCAAAGGAATAGGGAAACGCTGCAACGCATTTCCCAAAGAGCAAGGCGGCGCTGACGGAAAGATACATTTTTCTGGAAATGGGTTGAGAGTTGTGTTGAGAAAACCTTGTTGCTCTTCAAAGTTTCTGACCGAGAAAAAGTTGAAGATGTTGTGATGACAATTATATATGCGTATACGGAGTACAGTAGCGAAGCTTATCACGGTGTAATTAGCGGTATAGTAATGAGATAAGCCGTAGGAATAGGTATGAAATAAAAAGGCATAATACCGGGTTAAACAAAGTCATTTATCAACAGCTTGGCCACCGCCTAAGTAACCAAATTATCCCCGTCGTTATAGTAACTACGTATTGGTATTATATGCCGCACCTAGCTGCCGGTTCAATATATACGGCGACGAACATGTTTCTGGGCGCGTGTCCACACTGGCAGGGTCAAAATAACCGGTTTAATCACGTCACATCGGCCCTGGGGTGCCCGGCCCGTCAGCAAGTACTCTACAACGCTAACCACGCTATGTTCCTGTTTCTGCCTACATTTCGAATCGTAGCTCAAAGGGCTACGTCCCCAGCTTAAATCTAAACTATATTTGCGCCTTGTTAAAGACTCGTCATTGTAGATAATCGATACCGAAACGAAAACAGCGAAAGAAAAGACTAAACTGTAACTTTCACGCCCTCGTCAAGACATACTCTAAACTTTCCCAGGATAAAGTGACTTCGTGCGTGGCACTTCAAACCGCATTCCTAGTCTTCGCCTGATACGACCACTTAGATTCGAGATATCGACGTGACACATCACGACGAGGAATGTGTTGCCGACAGGCTGAGTTGTTAAATGTGAGGATAAGAATTGTGTTGGTTGTAGGTCCTGCACGTCGTGTAGACGATATAAATTATATTAATTCTACACACTATCCGCCAGTGGGCTGTGTATCGTCGGCTATATCATAATTTTCCGTTTCCGTTCCTAGAGGATAAATAATGGATCTCTTTGAACTTCGCATGTAACTTGTATATTGACTTCTCAAAGCAACACAATCTCGTCGGCTGTAATATTGTTTCCGGGAGTCAATACCTGTGTTACTTAAACACTACACAGTCCGGCGTCCCGGTCTATTGTAGCACCGACCATAAATATCGCACATCATGATTTGATAACCAAGTTGCAAGCTTACCCAGACTCGCCAGAATAATCCCGCTCCGTACCATACATACAGTTTTTCACCCTGACACGCGGCAAGGTCCCAGTCAGCATATCCTCTGGAAACTCGCCAACGAATCATCGACTTTTGTTGACGTCACCGAAGCATTCCTGAAGCGCCACCGGCTCTCGCGGCTCAACTAAGACGTAAACATGTCGATCGTGATCGTCGTCTTTAATAATTTTTCATCACCTGACGATAAACTTTATAAGATCTTCATGAATTCAGGCAGTGCCATAAGCGCCCGGTCCACCAAATTCTCCACCTTATGCTCCACCAAAGGAGGGCCCTGAATATGGAAACACCTTTCCTCTACCGTCAAGTATGTTGGGGTTGCGAACTACCATGCCTACCAAATGAGTCATAAGCTCTGGTTGTCGTTGCGACCTGAATGTTATGTCCTTGATATTGATCCGCCCAAAAATGCTATGTTACAAATAGTCTTCCAGAGACGACTTAGTGATTCCGCAGTCTAGGCTGTCACCATACTGCTAAGAACTACGCGGCTCAAACAGGAGTGAGTAGCTGAATCGATTTACCACATCCAGAAACGACGTAGAAGGGGGTTGATTAAGGGAAGTATCGTAATCCGGGCGAGAGTAAATGTGATGCTGTACCCACTACCAAAGGAGACGCCTGGAACTGTTGGAATCGTCTATAATACAAACACCTCCGTTGTAATACTTACAATAGTCTTAGTATAATTGCGAGGTTCGGACATCTCCGTACACGGGTTCTTCATTGAACGACTTTAGCTCTTATTAGCATACTGGTTGGAAAACGATCTACTTATCAGGACACCCAGAAAACGTTTCGAATTAATATGTTTCCGCAAAAGCTAGCGCTCACAAGTACGAATATTTGTATTCCGTGGCTAAGACAGAATATCCTAATGTTCGAGATAAATACACATTTAAGGCGATTTTTTTAAAGTAGTCATTTATTCGAGGGTATACTTTCTTCTCAACAATATCAGATAATTCGCGTCAAGAAGGCCCCAAAAGCCTTCTGGTCATCAACGTACATTATAAATTGAGATCCGCAATCGCGGTAATAAGTGGAACAAAAAGCCGGTTACCTATATCGCGAAGCACTTCTCGCGCAGCCGTAACGGGCTTGACTCCTTGGGAACTGACCAATGCGTTTTTATGTTGTTTGCTTTTAAATAAACGTATATAGTACGTAGTATTAATAGGAAAACATTGACATTCGTTACTAAAGCATATAGTCTTTTATTTTATCACTCGATAACGAGCCACCCTTTCCTACTTGGCTTATTCTGGCTTGCCCTACTGGCATCGCGATGATCAGGAGCCTCTCCACTGTCTTTATATACACGGAGCCACTAGCCAGGGTTGACAGGCGGTACTGGCGTTTTTGAAGAGGTGTCGTGGTGCCCTAGGCGTAACTGCCGTCAACCCTTGGAACTCTGAGCGTAATACTATTCGTTATTTCCCAGTGTTACCAGAGAGTGTTAAAAGGCCAGGGCGATAAGGGAGTAGGCCATAGTCGCTAGTCGAGCCAGCCTTACGACCTTGGTAAAGCAGTTGTAAATTACACGGGTCTACTGGCATGGTGTGATCTGAGCTGTTCCTGACCAGGTCGCCGTGGCTAATGTCGTCTGTCCACGTTGCGCCGCTGTTGGCCTTGCCGGCGAAAGGCCGGGCCTCGTTTGTAGCCTGGGGTGACCAAGTGCCGTTCAGGCTGGAGGCGGTGAAGGACCGGAAGTATCGACCATGGGCACCAATGGCTTCCACAAGCATAAGGTAGGTGCTTTTGTTTTGTCCTAGCACAGTATAGACCTGCACGGCCTCAAACAAATTGTTTCTAGAGTCAGTCAATACCACAGTTGATTTGGTACCAAAATCGCTTGGAAATTGGCCAATTGGCATGCTGGCTCTGTATATGTTTCCATTGTCGCCGGCAAAAAATAAATACATTGCTGTGTCGTCTCCAATCAATGTTTGGTCGATGCATCCGGTGTCGGTGTTTGTGATTTTTCCGGAAAAGAGGGATTGTGGAGCGGACCAGCTTCCAGGTTTGGTTGGATCAGTCGACGTACGATAAGAGAATGACGTCGTCCCCCATTGATACGCGAGAACCCAAATATTTTTCGGCGCGAAATGGAACAATGTTGGAGCTACTGTTCCTTCTTGCATGGCGATCTGCGTCGCATTTGCCATGTCCGTCCATTCTTGAAAGGGACTGAATGCCATCGAGCCCCATCCAGAGCCTGTGTCGTGTGTTGTGGCGTACACCACATGCTGGCCGTTGTAGGGTACAGTGGTAAAGTCTTTGAGAGAGACCCATCCCGCCTTCGGGTTGGCTAATGGCCCGGTCGAGGTCCAGGTATATGTTGAAGGTAATTCACATGATGCACAGACGAAGGGCGACACCATGAGAACAAAATAGATCAAATTTCTGAAATAATCCATAACGGTCTGTACTAGAGAAATAAGGCAATGTTGGTGGAGAGAATTATAAACACACGGCCATTGTATGGGAACGTAACTCAGTATTTATGCTTCGAATAACGTGGAGAAGTCGCACCGATTTATTGTTTTTACTTAGCCGTCGGTGTGTGCCTTCTTGACTTCCGAGAAGGATTAAATTATTTTGATTGTAATTTGTCGACATTTTAGAGAACGGCGGTATGCTGGTAATAAACCGGTAAAATTGGACAATTCCCCTGGGGGGATATTGCACTATATATAAAGTAGATTACTACGGCTCCACCGAAGATCTTCTGTGCCGTGGTGGGACGACAACTGAAGGCAGTCGATGTTGTTCTAGATTACGCAGGGACCCGACACAGAGGTAGAGACCTGTGGTTATAACGGCAAGTCGGTACGCACAGTACATTAAAGCCATACCTAGGACATAACAGATATTGCCTACACTTTATATATTGCCGATACCTTTAGCTCGTCTGAGTAACTTTCTGCCTCCATATAGCCAAGGCTGGACCTTGAGACAATCCCAGCGTCTCGGGAATGAACTGTGGATTTTCCAGTTGAGGCTGCCGCGCCGTGTCTCGACCATAACAACTGTTCGTCCCCACCAAATCTATGGATATTGAATTTCTGGCGATGTGAATTAATTCACTAATCAGTAGCCTAAACCATGGACCGGGAAAAGTGTTTGGAGCAGTCTACTTGGTTAAATGTCTCCCGGATATTGCCTCGCCATTTTTTTTCACGTAATGCCTCGTAATCTTGTAGCATCTCCTCACGTGTGGTTTTCCCTTCACATGATAAAGTATGTCCTAAGGACAGGAGCGTCTTCAAAAAGTAAATTTTTATCATTGACCAAGCATGGAAGCAAGGAGCGCGTTACTTTTTTTTATAAGCCCGTCAGGATCTTGATCAAGAAAACGTAACGTTGACTTCATGTAATCCATAATACTCATAGGAAACTTTGTTTGCTTCTTCATTGATTCATTTATTAAGGTCTTCCGCTTTTATTATGTTAACCTAGCTATACTAGTAGATGATAATAAGAAAAAAGTTCCTGAACGATGCGCGTGACATTTGGGAACTTATCATGGCATAGCTCTCACTTGACAACATTTTCTATATGGCCTAGGAAACGGATCAACCTATTTCAAATTGCCAAAGTGAGAAGGTAGTTCTCACCGGGAACGTATGGGCTCAAAATAACAAAAATAAGGTGTCCTGCTTTAGTACTCGAGACGAGACAATATTCTGTATCAGTCTATGAGATGCATGCTTCAAGGACATCTTTTGGGCGAGTTACCCAGGACGAGCTGGAAGATATTGTTTATCTTTTGAACACGCATCCAAGAGATGACTACGTGTGTGCTGAGGCAATACGGGCGGGGTCTGCGCCGTTCCGGGAGCATATCCAGTGCGAGGACAATGTGACAGGGCACATCACCTATTTGGGATTGGCTAGCTGTGTGAGGTATCATTAAGGGACACTTTCTGACACTGTGACCATAGCCCATTCGAAACTAATGACAGGGTCTGCGAAGAACCGCTGTTTCAAGCGGTTGTGGGCGATACGAATAAACAATTCGCTCGCGCCCGTTGATCATAATGTGGCACGGCTACATATGATTCCATAAGGTTCGCGAGGGAACTAATGCCACTAGTGCTAGGAACGGCACTACTTCACTGACCGATATTGACCTTAACTGAACACGAATAAAAATAATCCCACGGGAACACATCAGTTATATTCTCTCTTGGAGATCCCGAGCGTACATGACGTATCAGCACCCCCCGCGACAAACGGACGCCGAATCCAGTACCTCACTCGTCATAGGTACACACAACCGCGCTTTTGCCTAACGGCTGATGCAGCTATCATTTACACCACTCACGAAGGAAACAAGCTACACAAGTAACGTTATCCTCTACGCTGCCTATGCGTACCGTTTATTGATACGTGCTTCTTTGGTTTCCACTACACTTCCTTCGTGGACAAAGAAATGCCTACGAACAGGGTCAATGCGCTGTGGTTCGCAAAAACCTTCCATCACTATGTGCTTTAGTCCCTTAACCCTTGGCGCACTAATGTACTGTTAATTTGAGGAGAAACTCGGTGAACGTACAATATTGGAAGGAGCCGTCAGCTTTCAATGGAGCTATAGGATACCTAAACCAGTTATATGTCTCAAATGTCCCAGAGACAACACGCTGTGTTTATTTGACTACGCTAGCACATATCTTTCGTTCTTTAGGATAAAAGTAATATCTACTATTCTATCTCTCACATCAGAATTGTACTATGGTAATCCCTATGAAATTGCAAAGTAAATGTTATTGTTATGCAGCAACCAGATTGTGAAACACAAGCTTATCCCGTCGCATGCATACTGAGACAACGACAAGAAGAGCACCGGTAGTAATGACAGGAACGTATGTAGCTTGTATTGCCTCCGTAATGGCTCGAATGGCCTTTACTCGAAGGTCACCCTCAAGGCTTTCGAACAGAGTACTGCGCGATCCAGCAACAGCACTTTGTAAATCTGCGTCCGTGTATCCATGCCTGGCAAGAACAGCACGCAAGTTGTTTATGGCGACACTCTGGAAAATTTGACCGGCAATGACAAGACACAGCACCTGGCCGCCAATTTGGCTAACATTTTGCATGCTGATGACATGCCCCATGTCTGCAGGATCCTCGACAACAAGAGTACCAACCTGAAAACCGGCCTGCACAAGGAGCCCTGTACCGACAGCACCAAGGACAGTTAATCCATATATAGTGGTTGTCGAAGTATCGGGGGTGAGATACCTGTACAGGAGAGCACTTGAAATGGTGATCAAGACACCGGAGAAAAGGTAAACGGGCATGTAGTGCCTGACAGCTCTGAGGACAAAGCTGCTGGCGAGATTGGTGGTGATTGCAACGAGGACAAAAGGAAGGAGACGAACGGCAGTAATCAAAGCTGAGTCGTTCTGAACAAACTGGAAATAAACTGGAATGTAATAGGTCGGGATGAACATGGTCGTGATAGATGCCGATGTTGAAATGTATAAGAGGATTTGCGTGCGAGCATCCTTGGCCGTCGGGGCGATGAGATGGCCTGGGAAAGAGCGCGTTGCGGTTGTGGTAAAAAGGCAAAAGTACTGCTGAAGAACATATCTAACAAAAAGAATACCGAAACTTGTCAACGTCGCTATGGTTCGACCATCAGACCATGACCACTGGGTGCCGGTAAGGAGAAGTGCAAGAGTCAGTGTCACCCAAGCAGTAGCACTCAGAATAAAACCAACATAGTCGAGTCGAGTAAGGCGAAGTCGAACTGGTGGTAAAGTGCCATTGGTCTCGGCCGCTGCAACACCTGGAGGCGTGACTGCGGGTAGATAAAACAGGTAGATGGGAGCCGTTGCTCCGCCGATGACCAAGTTGAGGTAAAACGCCCAACGCCATGTGGCCGACGAGTCACTAAAGGCACCACCGACCACCGGACCCAAAACGCTGCCGATACCCCAAACAAAGACAATTCCTGTGATGTAGGTTCCCCGCGTCCGGGGTGATGTCAATACCGAAAAGTGTGTCAAACCGCCAAGGTACATACCCGAGCCTCCCATTCCCGCAATGACTCTGCCAACAATCAAAGCGTCCATGTTCGGCGCACCTCCACACAGTGCCGAGCCAACTTCAAACACGACTATGCCGCCTATATAAGCCCATTTCATGTTGAAGTGTGTGAAAACTGACCCATAAGGTAAACCAACAGCGATTGAGCCTAGAGGAAAGCCTGCTCCTAGCCATGCCAGTTTTTCAACGGCACCAAATGTTTCAACGACGGCGCTCTGGACATCCGCTGCAATGGTGGTATCCAAGCCGTACATGAAAGTAGACAGGTAAAGGGCTATGCACACGAGGACCCAACGGAATCCGGAAATTTCTTTGGACATAGGAGCATCGTTGCCCCGGCCGTGGTCTTCGAAAACATCCTCATTAACAACATTTGAAGAACATGAAGGCCCGGTTTCGAGTGTGTCAAGTCGGGTTTCGTTCAATTGTCCCATCGGTTCACTTCTCTTCTCATTAAAAATGTGGGTTTCCGTACCTGTGATTTGGTTTTTGTCGATATCAAGTACCGAGGAAGAGGACGTTGAACTTTCCATTGGGAGAGAAGTTTGGCGTTTTGACTTTTATCTGTGTAGATGATTGGAGGTTGTTTTGCAGTCTACTTGAAGTCCGTTCTACCGAGGAGGTTCTGTAAAGCTGAAGGCTTTATGTACACAGTTATATATACATGACAATTTTGTAACGTGAATTATGTTACTTTCGTTATTTTCAACTCGAAAGCTGACAGAATTAAAACGGTCCTTCCCGATTATCGAATATGTGGACTGAATCTTGTCGTATTTCGTGCTCGATACTAAACAAATGACATCTAATTCACACGCGTGAAAGTTCCGCACTCCAGTCTGTATTATCCAAATCCCGCGTTGCGTGTCAGCTATGAATATTTTTCAAACTCGAATTACAAACGAACGCCGAAATTAAGGTTATGTTTCGTCGTCGTTCACATGTTTTTTCCGAGTTGTAAGTCACACACGTACTTCTGCTTCCTAGATTCGGACATCGCAACGGAGCCAAGTCCGATGGTTGGAAATTCATATGATGAAAGCGCGTGAGTGCAGCCCCAACTACTCTGTGTGCCGTCGGTCATCGCACATGGAAATCATCCGTTCCGTTGTAAGAGAAACACTCCACAATTATCCACACTTGCGAGCAAACGCCAAAATGTGGATACAGCTTTGAAATAGGGCCATGGGCTTTGATAATTGACTAGGCTTATTTTCTTTGTGTTGGGTTTTTCTTTTTTTCTTTTCTTTTACTTTTTTATTCTTTATCGCGTTTCTTTATTCAATACAAGAAGTATATTTTTACCAAAGAATTTTGCTCGGCGTTTACACAGAAATTTCTTTTAGTAAACCCTTACAAAAACTCTGGCTTACTATGACACCGTCACTCGTTTCATAATGCAGGCTTTTGATTAGAAATTTGTTAGTCCGGCTTGGTTTACATGTTATTAAGCCACTGTCGGGCCCTCAGCCCGTTTCACTCGCCGGGTATTCTTACTACTTACGTGTCTTGTGTTTTGGTATTTCAGTGTGGACGTTGGTTATTAAGAACGTCGACGCCGGAGACCTTGACGACGGCCTGCCACGTTGCTTCCTGGTTGGCACGATCGTGAAAGTGTGGGTGGCGCATCGCCTCGATTGGGCCGGTAAGCTTCTTGGGAGCCGAGGCGAAAAATTGCCCTGAGACGTCGGTTCCGAACTCCGATGCCTGGAGGTACCGACGGGCGGCGGTCTCAGGAGTCATCGTCATGCCGGGGATGATCTTCAGTAGTGGAATTGCCACCCACTTCACAGCCAGGCCAGCGTTGCGTGGCGCCTTAGTATCCGGTGCGCTACCGGGCGCCACGGCGTATACGGCCATATCGGAGGGTAGCCGGCGTGCCAGCGCCGCAACCCACCAGGTGATGATGAGCTTCGCGTCAGTATACGCCCGGTTGGGCACGTACTTCACGTTGGGCCCATTGCGGAGCAGGGCTTCAACAGCGGTGGTTCGGTCGCCTTGGTGGTGCTTGGCCGCGAAGTCCGCCACATCTGTGAAGCTGAACATGGCCACGTCCCCTCGGGCAGGTTCCGCGCCGGAGATAACAATCCGTGCGTTGGGGCTCAGCAGGTTGGCTCGGAGCAAGCCGACAGTCAGTTGATGATGGCCGATGAGCGGGGCCTGGGAAGACTCGACGCCGACCGTCGTGAGCACGCGCTTGTTACCTGGCAACAACCCTGCATTGAGCAGTAGGAAGTCGATGGACTGTCCTCGCTTGATGAGCTCAGTGAGGGCGGACTGAACACTAGACGGCTTGTCAAGATCCAGCTCCAGGGGCGTGAAGACCTGTCTTCCGACCTCTGTCGCCAGTTGAGCGGCCGTTTCCTGGACCCGAGTCAGGCTGCGCCCGGTGACGATGATATTGCGCCAGCCGTCTCCAGCAAGAGCGCGAGCTGCCGCATGACCGAGCCCCGAGGTGGTGCCGGTGACGAGCGCGATCAAATGGTCCATGTGTGTTTTCCTGGCGATGTCCTGCTGGCGATACTGGAAGTTGACGTCTGCCAGGTGATTGCTGTCGTAAATGCTTCTGGGTTGTGTTAAGAAACAACTGCGCTCTCCGCTCCAAAGAGTAGCAACCTGCCTGTTTATATAGAGCAAACTTAGGACAGCGGCGGCGCCGCTGTACCGTGCGAGCAGAAACGGCGGCTTGGTTCGTCGTGGCTTTTGAGCATGGTATGAGCGGGTATACCGAAAAGGGGAAGAGGCGCACGTAAGGGCGGCGGCGGCTTTAAGCCCTTGGGCCCCACTTTCGTGCGAGCGCGGCCGTACCGATGTGCTACGAGCTATGCAAGCCGCCATGACATCTCATCCATATAGCGCCTTCATCTCAGCTCTCGTAGCTGCCAAATTGGTACGGCCAAACGACATCGCCATGTCTGACAGCTTTTATCCGAGACCAATGCGCCTGGGCACGCGAAGCTGTGCGGAGTGCCGGAGGCGGAAAGTCCGATGCGTTTTCCCAGCCGCGCATCCGCCGTGCCAGCAATGCGACCTGCGCGGCATCCCGTGCACTGCTCAGCAGCCAGGGGACCAGAATATTGGGTCGTCGGGTCCCCTATTGTCCCTGGGTGATGAGCAGTTGAAGCAGCGGCTCGCCGACATTGAAATCAACGTGCGCGATATCTGGGCTAGCCTGAGTCTGAGGGGCGCCTCTCCATCTCTCACGGGGCTGCTGCCAGGGGCTCCATCCACAACGCTTAGTGTGGAAGACAATGTTGGTATAGGCTTGCAGTCGAAGCTTGATGTTGAGAACACGACCCACGCTACCATGCCCAACAAGTCCAACATGGCGGATGACGGCTGTGGCTTCCCAGACGCGCCGCTGATCACCCTGGTCAAGGCAGCCAGCATGACGGAAGAACTGCAGTTTGCTTCCTCCGAACCGTCGATCAATGGCAACAGGGCCAGCGACGCTGTCCATATGCCCGGTTTTCCGATGCTACAGGACGACGAACTGTTGACGGTCCTTGCGGCGACGGTACAATATTGGCCCATCTGGCCACCCTGGCAATATGGCGCCCTGCCTCAGACCATGCGCACTCTCCAGACCGGCGGAGTCGAATTTGCCGCTCGATTTTTGTCCCACATGGTGAGGTCCAGCAGTCCTTGTATCTCGGCCAAGGCCTTGCTCTGGCTGTCGCTGTGTATTCAACAGGCGCCAAAAACGCTGCAGCTCCCATGGTGTGGATTATCGCAGGAGGATCTTCTCGCCTCGTACATGCAAAACGCCGACAGCCTGCTGAAATCCGCCAGCACGGGTGAAACGCTACACGGCATCGAGGCTCGACTCATCCAGCAGAAGCTCTACATGGACATGGGTTGCCCGCGCCAGGCCTGGCTCAGCATCCGCCGCGCTGCCGATGGGGCGCTGCTCCTGCGTCTCCATCGCGCCCCAGCCCAAAAAAGAGGCGGTAGCCGTGAAGCAGCCATCTGGACCGAGATTTGGCATCTAGAGACCAGCATCGCGTTGATCCTAGGCCTACCGAGCACAATTCCCACCCCCACCCCCAATCCCGGCCCGCAGCCGCGGGGCGACCACGACGACGACGGCGGCGGCTGCGACAGCCAGCTTCAAACACTCCAGCACAGATTGTGCTACCTGGCCACATCCGTTGTCTCCAGGAACCAGAGCCCGGAGCCGAGCTACCTTACCACCGTGCAGATCGGCCACGAGCTCGAAGGGTGCCGGGCCCTCATGTCCGACAGCTGGTGGCACGAGCCGCCGCCACCGGACCAGCCTTTTGCGCAGTTGTACGCCCAGCAGGTGACAAAGGTGCAGTATTTTCTCATCACTAAGCTGTTGCACTTGCCTTTTATGCTCAGCGCCGACGCCGGGTATGAGTACAACCGAGCATCGGCCGTCGCCGCATCGCGGGGCTTGATCAAAGCCTATCTCGGCCTGAGGAGCTGCGACAGAGGCCAGTTTGTCATGTGCGAGTCACTCGAGTTTCAGGCTTTCAGTGCCGGCATCACGCTGCTGATCCGCCTGCTGTCACCTGTGTCCCGGGGAAAGCCAGGCGACGATGGCAACAACGGCGAGGACTGGTCGCTCATCGAGGCGCTGACTACGAGCCTAAGGTGCACGGAGAACCTGATGCGGTGCAATGTTGCTAGACAGGCCGCCGAGGTGCTGAGCCTCCTCACGCAGGCGGCGCGTGGTACCTACGCCGGTCCGGACAGGTACGACGTCATCCTGCCATACTTTGGCGAGATCACCATTGCCCTGTCGCGGAGCCGAAAGACGGATTTTCTGGAAGGATGGGATGAGTGCTGTCAGCAGCAACAGCAACCGGCGTCTCCTTCCTTTGGCACCGTCGAGTTTAGCGCGAACCCCTTCGACCTCGTGCACTTTTCTGGAAACCTGGAGGGAGAACTTGGCGGCGATTGGTCATCCATGGCCGATGTTGATATCGAATTTGACTGGACGCAAACCTTTACCTTTGACAACAAGAACCACCACCTGCCATGATGGTCCATGTTCGTGTAAACCTAGACCTTAAAAGAAGAAAAATATAGTATGAATTAGTTTACGTGGTAAACAAAAAGTAGGGTACCAGCAGCGCGGGACGGCATCAATCAAAAGGCCCATGCCTTCCAGTCTTACTCCTTTAGTTATAACGGCCAGTAGCTCCCGTCGGTGTTCTACGACTGCAGAGACAAGATCTAGGACACCACCGCAGGCGGTTATCTACAAACAATACAAGTGTGCAAGGCTCTCTTAATCGTTTAATATCACAGAGACGTGCCTTTGATACAGGAACAGGACCAATCAACTTCGGGCTGTTACCTCCGTCCTCGTCTAAAATATCGACTGCGAAAAATCTTAAGATCTTCGTGACTGTATATTTAGCGACGGCAATGTATGGATTATGGTTTCTACAAAGAATGTTTTGAGGCTGTTGCCTGCATACTGCCCTTCCGCCTGGGCTGTGAAGTTTTTCATGGCTCCTGGCGTATAACTGTTAGTACTGTTGTAGAATATATACGGTAGTAACAAATCTCCTATAACTCTTTCAATTTTTTCTTCTTCTCTCTTTGCCCTTCACAGGGTTCTAGGGGGCTCTGGGTATTTGTCACGTTGTTGTAACAACTGGGTGATAAAGTCTTTAAGCACGGCAGCCTAATAATTGTCCCCCTAAAAGGTGGTTACTCTCGTGCTTTTCTACATCGATCTTGGCCGTCACAAAATTATACGTAAGGTGACCTTGGAAACACCTATAAGAACCTATAGACAGAGCACACCGTATCTTGTATCCTTGCACCATCGATATTATAGGCACTATATAGTAGGTATGATACATATAAACTACAGACTGAATTCCGATCGAGAAGATTGAAAGACACGTAAGTCCAGACGAGAGGCTTAAGTTCTAATATAAAACATAAGAGTAAGTAAGATGTTACTATGTAACCGTCTGAGTTTTACATTTAAAAATCCGTATATGAAAAAAAATCAAAATGAAATAAAAAGCCTACAAATAAAAAGATTTTGAATTACACATTAAGAAAAGAAGAAGTACGTTAACAAAGAGCTTCCGTTTAGAACTCCCGTTAATAACTATTAAGTCCCCGACTAGCAAGTGATTCCATTCTGAAAATAATAACGGGATACTCTTGCCTTAGTCATGGATACGCTTCGTTATTCAATTGGTGACCGTCAAAATGGCTGGGTAAGGTGTCCCACTACCGTGTAAATTAATACTATATTTAATCGTTACATTTTTGAAATATGTATTGTATGTAGAATATTCTGGACAGCCTGCTCGTCCCCTTCTATCGTATCCCCTTTGTCGCTCTCCACCCACCCATCTGTCCAGCCACCGCCAAAGTCAATTAGCCACAAGTCGCCAAAAGGGGCTTCTTCTCCTCTATGTTTAACAGTCGTCACATCGTTGGTCTCGCCGACGCCGACGATGAGATTGCCCGTTTTACCGTTGCCTTAGACAAGGCCAAGGACGTGTAGAACGTCGACTAACACGTGGAGTTATTTAACCTATCGTTGTTTATTATACGTCGAGAACGACTTTCCACGATTCTCACGTTTTAGTATATCTATTAACCATTCGCCTAGTATCCACTCGTAGACAAAACCAACGATGTACCGGTTTTCCGGGTAAGTGACTAGGCCGACGAGACACGGAGTGTACACACGTATAGACTTTGTCGGTGTAAAAGAAGACGATACCTAGTATTTATATTTATATAACGTTAAAAGGTATATAAGTTTACGTCGTAAGATAGGATATATTATAACACTGGATACGTAATTTGTCGTTTTATAAAGAAGATCGTTCGACGCCGTATAAGTGACGTAGTTGTCGTGGTTATCGATATTATCCCCGTTATATATAGTACGATACGGATACGCGTTACGGTACCACCGTTATGGATCTCTTTAATAACGTTAATATTATTTATTATATACTACGGAAGGTGATGTTAATTAAAAAGGAGGGATCGGATTTCCTAGTAACTACTATTTATATAGTCTTTAACGGAGACGTCTAAGTACGGACTTAAACTTCGTTAAAGATATAAGTATAATCTTCGGTTATATATCGGGGTCCTCTCTTTAAAAGACAAAGTAATATATTTTAAAGTAAAGTAACGAGTAAAGTTTAGTGTTACTTTAATATACCAACAACACGGACGCCTTTAAAACGACACGCTTAAATTCCTCCTCTCCCACCGACTAGATAATATCAAGAATTACATTAGTAATGGTGTTAAATTCATCCACGGAAACTTGACGAATCAGATCAACGACGTGATTTTTTAAAGAGTTTCAGAAGATTAAGAGGGTGCGAAAACCGTGACCGAGATTTGTTCGTTGTAAGAGGGGAAGTAAATAGAAGCAAATTATTTAAGGAACCTTTACGCAAATTACATAATTTTTTAGTCGTTGTAGTATAAGTTTGGCAAGGCGGATTTCACTAAGTAGAGAAGGGTTG